CTCCAGAAGAATTATAAAATAATAAAAAATAATAAAAAAAAAAAAAAATTATAAAATTTAGAACAGAAATAAAATGTCTAATCCCAATAATCTTGTCCGACCCCCTGTGCTTAACGCACCCACACAACCAAGTGTTTCCAATTCCAACTCCAATTCTTTTAATATGGACCAATTGACTAATTTAGTGACAGGACTAGTAAACAACATTATAAGACAAGAAGGACGAAATTTAGTCCAGGCAGCTCTTAACCTCAATGCAAATTTCTCAAATATAACAGACGTAACTATTGACGCAAGGCACTTAAATAATATCACAGAGCTGGATAAAATACCGGACGTAGTTAGATGCCTCCGCGAATTTTCCGGTAATCCAGGAGAGTATAACTCTTGGAAGAAAAGTGTAGATCGCATCCTTCAGATCTACGAACCTCTTAATGGAACGCCGAAATACTACGGCATCCTGAACGTTATAAGGAATAAAGTTGTGGGCAACGCCGACATTGCCCTCGAATCCTATAACACTCCATTAGACTGGAAGGCTATTTCAAGATGCCTTACCCTTCATTACTCTGACAAGCGAGATATAGGTACCCTTGAGTACCAAATGACTTCTTTAGTGCAGGGCAATCTCACTATCCAGGAATTCTACCAGCATGTTTATTCCAACCTGTCCCTCATTCTAAATAAACTGGGTTGCATGGAAATGGGTTCAGAATCCATGCATTTACTAACACGGACATATCGGGACAAAGCCCTCGACACCTTCATACGAGGACTAAAAGGTGACCTACCAAGACTTCTTGCTATGAGAGAGCCAGTAGATCTTCCTCAAGCCCTCCACCTTTGCCTAAAATTGGAGAACCAAAACATTCGTTCTCACTACGCGCTGAATAGTAATAGCCAAAATAGGAAGCCCCACGACTTCCGACCACCCCTCCCACCCAAAAAACCAAATAACGAATTTTATCCCCAATTGGCATATATGCCAATACCCCAAATGCACCAACAAAACTTTTTAAATCATTACCGCCCTCAGGCTCCTATGAACAATTACCATCAGGCTCCCATTAATAATTACCGCAATAACCAACTTTACAGACCACTAAATCAACCTCCTACTAAACCCCAACTCCCTCGCCCAGAACCAATGGACGTCGATAAGTCCCTACACTCAAGAGCTGTTAACTATATGAACAGACCACAGATAAATAAGCAAATGAAAAGACCATCAAATTTCTCACAACAAGTTCCCCTTAAACAACAGCGAAACTTCCACATAGAAGCAGGTGAACAACAAGACTATCAGCAGGACCCACAATACGATACAGATCAATACTACCAACACGACAGGACTCCAACTCCTCAGGAGTATGAAGCCGCACTAACAGCTGAAGAAAACGGACAATCAGCTCAGACATACGCTGAAGGAAATTCACTCCCTGAAACCCAGGACCATATCGACATTCATTTTTTAGAATGAACTGTTCTTCGTTGCCATACGTAGAATGTAAAACGAAGAACGGGAAAATCCTTAAAATGCTTATCGATACAGGGTCAAGCAAAAATTATATCCAACCCTGCCATGTCCCAAAAAAAATACCTAATGACGAACCATTTTTCGCAAACTCTATTGCAGGACAAATCCAAATTACTCATCATACAATTGTCAATCTTTTCAGCAAAAATGCCTCAAGCTTAAAATTTTTCATACTTCCCACATTAAAATCCTTTGACGGTATTATAGGAAACGACAGTCTAAAAGAACTTCGTGCTACAATTAACATACA